AGCTATAATGTCATGTTATTTTTAATTTTAAAATCAATGAGGTGTCGTCGGAATCTTTTTTTTAATCCAAGTCTGTTGGCGATCGCCCAGTGTATTAACTCCTATCTGTTTACACAATTTTGCGATCATGTTTACAAAAATCACTCTAACTTCTGAACCAGTGGGCCGATTTTAAAGGCTGTTTCGGTATGTAAAAATAGACTAATCAAGCTGTCTGTTAAGCAAAAAATCAATTTGATTGGATGAGCAGTCTCGTCGGAACGCCCATTTCTTTAGAGACATTGACTCGATCTGACACACATCGACTAATGGTAAAGGATAGGCGGCAGTTCTCGCCGATAGGCGGCTCGTGCTGGCGTAAAGTTCACAGAAAAACAGCGATTTCTCAGCTAATACTTGCATAAAGTTTACCATTTTTGTATCAACAGTAAGAGAAATCTTTGCTGATTTGTAATATGTAAACATAGTTAGAATTAAGCGTTTGGTTTTTTGTTACGAGCAGTTTAAAAACGTTCAGTTATTTTTCGAAACCTGCAGCGTGATTTAGCCGGTTCGATGGACTCGACCATTATACATGTAGGCAAAGGCGGCCTAGGCTTGCTAAATTCTAACTATAGTATAGAGCGTCTTGGCTAAGATTGTCTCCTTGACTTTTTTTATACAGTGTTCTTATTGATTATACAGTACCATAATATATATATATCAGATATAGTGACTGACCAAAATGAATTTAAGATATTATAAAATGTTACAATATTATTTCATTTATTATTTGTGATTAGGTGCCCAACATTCCCCTCTAAGTAAAGTGGTACGGTCCAACGTGGTTGCGTGAGCTACACTGTGTGGCGGAGAGATTAAAATGGAGTGATAAGAACTCTACGCATTGAAATTAAATAGGTTCAAAAAACAAAACAAATTGTATATATATATATATGCGGATTCCCAATAAGATTGTCAGTTGTAAAAATACAGCCCTAAAGTACCAAAGAATGCATTTCCGGGTATATAGGGAAAACATGCTGGGTGGGGCGGGGGCGTGGGTGAGGGACATGCCATAGACACACTTTTAAAAAAAAGTCTCACGACTGTAAATTAGTTGAATTTGGCACGTATGACTATTTGTTAGGCATAAGCAAAATGCTAAAACGTGATGGGAAAAGGTTTATTAAAGTTCTGGATAATTATAAATGAAAGGCGCTATATACAGTAGTTACCAAATAGCAAAATAAATAAGCCTAATTGATAAGATATGATCGATATTAGAACATGCAGACGCGTTGAAAGGAGCTGATAATCATACGACACAAATTAACTTATACCAAGTGCTATATGGTGCTAGAGAGATGGTTGATTTACTCAACTTCGATCTTTGAAATTACTACAAGTAAGATAACCTGTAGACTTATGAATAATTATTTTAATATGAATCTATAATTAGAATATATTGCAACTCAGTGTAAATCCAGCTATATCTGCAACAATTTCTTTCATCATATAGCTACCAACATAATATAAGTAATGAAAGTATTTATTTCTTACGACTTACCTCTTGAGAAACGCTTTCTATCTAACAAAGCTGTATAGGCTTG